AGGAAATTATTTCATGTTATTTCAATTACTTTCAAAATTATTATTGATATAAATTATATATTTCTTTACCATTCCATTTTTATATAAATAAATATGTAACAAATTTGTTTAGATTAATCAACTTTTATTTCTATAATCATTATAACTCAACCTCCATTTTATTTATTAGGAATACTTCCAAAGCATTTTACTTTAAAAAAAAATAGAATTACACTAATAAATAAAATGAGGGTGTATTCAGAGAATTATGAATAATTATATATATGAATCATATACATATACATAAATTGTATCCAAAATCAATAATTAATAATTCATACATTTAGATCAATTAGAATTGATGATTAATTATCCAATCTTAATAACCAAATATAAAAATAAATGGTTTCCTATTTCAAAGTCAATTATACTCTAGTGATTTTATATTAGATTATAACTTAAAATTTATTAGATAAATTTTAATTAATAAAAATACTTTTTTATATGCAAATTATCTTATTAATCTTAAACATGCTTATAATTATCTTAATTTTTATCAATATTTATACCCTTTCTTTAAATGCTAATACTAAAAATTAGAATTAAACATTTTCCTTATAACATTTGTTAACCTATAATGTGTATAGAATTTAGAATTGATTTCTTATGAATTTTTATTCTAATTTAATTGTACATTCATCATTCAATTAATTATTCTGAAAGAGTTTAGAAACAAATGAAAAATTTATAGAAATTTAGATAAATTCTTTAAGCATCTTTTTTTTTGCATATTTTTAATGAAATTTATGTCTTCTATTATTGATATTGAAACTCTTTACTTATTTTCTAATAATCAATTTAACAATAAATGTTATTATATATATAAACGTGTAATTATGAAAGTTAATAAAATATAAATTAAAAAAAATATGGAGCAACCGAGCTTCGATCTCAGCGCCTCATGCATGCTAAGCATACGCTCTACCAAATGAGCTATTACCCCACGTTCGAATATTAAGTAATTGATGCCTATTTATTAACCCATACATTGGTTATCTTTATTAAAAATAATAGATTATATTAAATATCTTTTGTTTATGAAATATTATTAAAATCTTCAATAAAATTCAAATAATAAAAAATGTTAAAAGTAGATTATAAGATGATTGAAATTAATTTATTAAAATATTATACAAAATGGAATTTTATAAATTAACTAAATCAACTTTAATTCCAATAATAATTTACTTTTTCTAAAGAATTAATAATGCAACTATTATTCATGAATAATTAAATCAAAGATATTCTAGAAATCAATTTAAATTTTGATGATAAAACTTATATTATAAGAAAAATCAATTATATTTAGTATAGTTCTAACCTATTCAAAAGAAAATTAATATTTTACATATTAATAATGAAAAGTAACTTGATTTTATAGAAAAGATAAGAAATTCATTTAAGATTAATAGTTGATTTGAAGAAGACAAGTAAAAATATGTATAGTTAAAACTATTTTAAGATAAATTATTTTTTGATTCTCATATAATATGATGAGAGTTATGTTGAATTATCATTATAGTAACCAGAATTAGAGATGATGATTTTTTTATTAATATTTTATTAATGATACTCATGATTGTGATAAGATCAATGACACAATTAAACCATATAAGGCCAATGCTTCTGCGAAAATGAGGATTAAAATCAATCCTACAAATAATCTTTCCTATTATGCATTTCCTCTGACACCAACATCACCAACAATTCCTATAGCAAATCCTGCTGCAATACAACTACATCCACAACATAATCCAGATGCCATATGAGCAAAACCAGATTTATAAGAGTAAGTCAAAGGACTTTTAACTATTTTTAATAATCAAATATATTATTACCTTTCTGTGATAGTAATACAGCCACAATCATACCATAGATACCCAAAATACCTGCCATAACTACAGGGATTAATGATTTCATGATAATTTCTGGTTTCCAAATACCTATAGCTGCAATTCCAGCTCCTGCTTTAAATGTTCCATATCCTGCTCCCAAATCTATAATAAATATATCAATCATAAGTCAATACTTGCTAACACCAATGCCATAGTGACTCCCATAAAACCAAAGAATGAGGAAGCACTGATAGGAGTATCATCTTGACTGACCATAGTATCAAGAACAAAAAGCATTTTATTTTATTTATTATTCAATATTTTATGGAGAGAAATGTTAAGAAAATATTATTAAGAAAAATCAATTTCAACAAATTAGAAATTATTATTGATAATCAATCATCCTTCTTGTCCGAATTCAGCAGTCCAATCTTCATATTTTTTAAGATCACCCTAAGAAACAGATGGTCTACATTTTGGAAGTACACTTAAGAAATCATCCTTAAAAAATGATAAATATAAATACATATTCTATTTATGGTAAATAAAGTTATCCACCTTTGATATCATACATTCTCATTTATTAACCTTAAGGATCAGAAGGAGAACAAGCCATGTATTTCATTCCTTCTGGAGTTTATGTGTATTTAAAATGAGTAGCCCTTTCAGTTTTTCTTAAAGGTTCAAATGAAGCATCTCTTATTAGAGTATTCATATCAGACCCTGAATATCCATCCAACATTTTAGCAATATCTTCAAATTCTGCTGGGGTTAAATTATTAGGAGTATTTTTCATTTTGTTTTTCAACAATTATAACCTTCCTTGAATATCAGGCAGGGGAATATATATTCTCTTTTCAAATCTATAAATAATATTTAAAAATCACTTTACCTTCTTCTAATAGCTGGATCTAAAGCCCATGGTAAGTTAGTGGCACCCAAAACTAAAACTGAATCATTGTTATTTCCAACTCCTTACATTTCTACTAAGAATTGAGTCTTAACTCTAGATGAGGCTTCATTTCCACCTCCACTTTCTCTATTACTAGTCATAGAATCCACTTCATCAATGAATATAATTGTAGGTTTTGATTCTCTAGCCATATTAAATAATTCTTTTATTAATCTCTCTGATTCTCCTACAAATTTTGATATTAAATCTGCTGAAGATACAGAAAAGAATGTTCCTTCACATTCAGTTGCACATGCTTTAGCTAAAAATGTTTTACCTGTTCCTGGAGGCTAACATATTTCAATATTATTGTACTCCATATAATAGAATTCCCATCCAAGGTTTACGTGCTCCTTAAAAGAGTTCTGGGAATCTCATTGGCATTATTATAGCTTCTTTTAATGAATTCTTTGCATTTTCTAAACCAGCAACATCATCCCAACTGACATTTGGCTTTTCAGTGACTATAGCTGTCGATAGATTATTCCTCAAAGTTTATTATCCTTCAACAAGTCTAATATAATTATTAAATAATAAAGATTACTTTTATTTTCCTTAATCTTATACATCTTTTGAGTTTGTGCTTTTATTCAAATCATTCTATCCATTCATAATTTTTGATTATTATTAAGGTTATGGATTTTAAGGGAACTATTATTTTTATTGTTATTAAGATGGAACCTGGGCTTACACTTATAGATTTGCTCTATAATTATCTAGATAAGCTTTCATATTTTGCATCTCTGTAGTAAACTCATTTAACTTTTAACTGGCAATTTAACACAACTATGGACTTGTCTCTTGTCTAGCATATTTTACTAATTCTTAGCATCCCAATTTCATTTTATCATATCCTCCTTATTTGGCTTCAAGAGTAGCTCCTCCTAAGTATTCAGATTTCCCTACATTCTATATTTCAATACCTTATGCTATCAATTGTATTGCTTAATCCCTTAATTTGTTTAAATACACTTCTGACATAAAAATAATAATAACAAAATTTTCAATAAAAAGTGCTCTTGAAATTATATTCAAATCAAAATTTCACATAGATCTCTTTATCCAATCATTTTGATATATTTTCAATTCTAAACTAAACAAAATATTATTTATATTTATATGCTATCTTTTAGATTTATATATATAATCAATAAGTGTTTCAAAAATATAAATTAATATACTACATTCTATAATATTTAATAATATTCTCATTCCTATTTTTGTTTTCATTTTTTATAATTGATTGATTTATTCTATTAGATCTAATTGATTTTAAATATACATAATCTATTTTTTAATATTCATATATTTGATTAGATTTGTTATCATTAAGATTTATATTATTAGAATCAACAATAAACTAATAATTATAGATAATTTAATTATTTAGTAGAAATTATTATATATGTATCGATCTTACATTTCATACATATATTATATAAATATTATAATTTATCTCTGTCTATGATATATTAATCATTCAGATTTAATTGTATCATTCTTTTTTTTATTTTAGAATTTAAAGTATTAGTTTATTTTTAATAATAGACCAAAATATATTATTTTAGATGAACTATTCTTTAAAAATGTTCATTAGGTAAGATGACCATCCAATACTCTTTTTATAAAAAAATCATCCTTAATGGTTTGGTAATCCAAAAAATACTTAATTTAATTTAAATCAATATAATCCTTTTAAATTAGAAATATTATAAAAAGAAGAAATTTAGAATTACACTCTTATAGAAGTAAATACTAATCCAATAAACTTAAATTTGAAGATTTAAAACATCGTATAAAATGATTGATTTTATCAAGATATTGTCAATTTTAACATTCATTGTAAGGATCTCATCTTCATAATAGTTTATTCAAAAAAAATATATAGTCATCATATTTTTAATAAAAGAACTAAATAATATATTCATAAAAGGAGAATTTAAACTATAATTGGATGAATTAAACAAGATAAGAAATGGAAGATAATTAGATAAATGTAAAATTATTATTGTAACAGTTATACAAATGAATGTTCTTAATAATTCATAAATTCTATTAATTAACCTATGTAAAAGATTAAAGATTCATTCCTATAATATTATGAATATTAAAATGATTGATAATAATTTTATGATTATATATAATAAAATTTTATTGATATAATTAACTACTTCTAATGATCTATTCTCAACATCCATATGATCAACCTATAAAGTAATTTCAAATTTTTATATTCAGTAACATTCCATAAGGATATCCCATGTATTATTAGCAATTTTAACCATACCCAATACCTTTTGAACCCTATTAAGTATTATCAAATGTGATACCTATCACTGAGCCATTGCCATCAAAAATTATTTATCCACAGGAGACAGTAATTGAAAGATACCCTCCATTATAAATTCCAAAGAAAGTTCAAATAGAAAATACTCAAAAAGAAAAAAAAAAAAGTTTTTACAATTTAGATAACAATCCATATTTATTTTCAACTGCAAGAGTTAGAAATTTCTCACAATAATTACCACCATAAGGATATTAATAATAATCTAATGATGCACATTAAGTGTAATTTTAAACAAATCGATTGGAAAGTACATAAAGAATGTTAGACCCATAAATTTAATCAAATTAACAGAATAATCTAAGAGTATCTGATTAAACAAAAATATTTTATCCACCTTAACCTATTTAATAATAATCCATTAATGATTAAATTGATTAGAGACTTAGAAATACCTAACAATACTCTACTTCAAATATTTAATAATCTAAAATACTTGAACAAAAGGATTATTATATTCAATCATAAAATTTGCCTTTTAATGAATAAGTAAATCCAATTTAAACTTAAAGTTTGCATCCTTAATATTAAACTACAGCATAATTTTAGCCATTATTATCTAAAAGTTTAAATGATTAAACAGGAAGATAATTGAATGAATCAAAACCCCCTATTATTCAATCAACAATTGTAATATATATTATAACATATATAGTAATATAATGCACCAAAATAAAGACCAGGACTTAATTTAGATTTGAAACAATATAAATCATCAAGTTAAAGTCTTTCACAATCTAAATTAAGAAGATCTAAAATCTTCGATTGACTATAATTAATGATGAATATATATTAATATAATTTTATTGTTTTGGCATCAGACAATTTATGAATTAATTAATAAAGGAATAAGTTATTAATAAAAAATTACTTGTTATAATCATTTATTCTTGAAAATACTATTAGTATATAAGAATTAATTATATTTTACAAAAAGTTTTGAAAAACCTCCATTATTAATCTCCAAATTTCTTTTTATAAAAATTACAAATTAATTTCACAGGTTGAATTATACTTAAAGTTTTTTGTTAAAATTTAACTTGTGACTCATAAAAAGAATCAATCACTTATTATATTATAATAATTTTATATTAAAATTCTATGCAATTGGCAAATAATGAAGATAAACTAAATTTTATTTCCATTATTAAGTATTATATTTGATGAATATTTAGTAAATTAAATTATTTCTCAATCCATCATACTAAATATCTTTTAAAACTCTTAGATCTCATTTGTAATTCATATTGTACTTCAAAAATGTTTCTTTAATGTAAAGTAAACGTATCCTAAATGAATCTTGCAATTGTTAGTGCTTAAATGAAGTTTTTATAAATAATAATATATTTCTATAATTAGTCTGTATTATACAATATTAATTTTTTATAGTCAAAAGTGTCATTCTTCATCAGTTGTTTCTTTAATCATGGCAAAATATTTCCTCATAATTTATTTACTCCTTAAAATTGGTTTACTTTCTACTTTTATTCTATTTTTATAGCATTTCTTCTTGCTTTTCTTTATTAGTTAGTTATAAGGGTTGAATTTTTAATGATGTGATCTAGATTTTTATTAAAAAATACCTGCATTAGCTTGGAGATCTAGTTCCTATAATCTCACTCATTTTTTTAAATAATGGTTATCCTTTCTTGTATGAGCCATCAGCACCCCTGACATTTTATAAAAATTCTAAATATATCGAATGCTCATTATCATCCCAATGACCTGTTCTTTATTATGAACAATTATTTGTTTCTAATTATTTAGAGGTATTAACAGTAGGATCAAGATAATCCTCACCTTGTTAATCAGAGCCATCGAATTTCATTTCTAATTAAATCTTAAATTAAATTATGTAAGTCGAATAATTCTTTTCTGATTTATATATCCCATACTGATTATATAATACAAACATTATAAGCTGTTAATTTATCTATCTAAGAGTTACTGAACTTATTCAATTATTTTTTAAAGCGTGATATTTGTATGGCAAATAGATATTTTACTTTTAGTTGATTTAATCGTACAAAAATTGTTAGCATTTTATATGGAGAAGACTTAAAATTCTAATACCTCCACTATTTTTTTATAACCCTTTCAAACATTAAAACTAAAAAGGTTTTATATAATCAAAAAATATTTGGATATGAAAGAATGTCTTATTTGAATTTGATGGGACATTTTTGGATCACTAAATTATGGAATAAAAAAAATCAATTTCAACCCATCTTTTAAATAATCAGGATTGACTATAAAAGAATCCATGTAAACTCAAGAGATTATAGAGAATAACTTCAAAGTCTTTGTCCCAAATATGATTTAGATTAAGTCTTAAAGAATATGAAAAAATCAACTAATTAATTTACCCTAACTCATATTTTGATAACTTATACAAAAACTTATAATTAGATAAAAACTTTGCTGAAAACGATAAAAATTATATACAAATATTGATAGCTAAAATATAGCGATTGCTCTATTTCAAATTGAGGACCTTCCATGTTTAAAACTGAAGTGATAATCAATACACAACAACAATATTCTAATTTCTGCATCAAATTTCAACTTAATTATATGTTATCATTTTTTTAAATTGAAAGAGATCATAATCTAATTACTAAAGATATCTATTAAGACTTAAATTTATTTTCAGCATAAATATTTATAAGGAAATTGAGAATGGAATTTAAAATTAATAAAGATATTAAAAAAAATCCTTTATAATGAACAAGGAATATTTTTATATATAAAATTGATAGAAATTTATTTTAATTCTTATGGTTTATAATAACACTTATTATTGTATTAAATCCTTTATTTATCTCTTGGAATTCCTCTTATTTATTACCTAAAAATATAATTTAAATATAAGCGATTATTAATTATATGTGTATATATATATATATAATAATATATTTCAATAAAGCTGTTATTACTATTAAGATTAAATCTCTTTCAATTTTTAATCATAATGCCTTTAAGCATTATTATAGATTTATTAATATTATTATTTCTCCTCCTTTGATCTTTCTTAATCATGTATAATTTATTTAATGATATCACTTGCTCCCTAAGTGTCTCCTTACTTTGCCTTGTCTTGACCTTATTTTAATAGATACAAAATTTGCTTAAAATTAATAAAAGTGCAATGTACTTGCTATCCTGGAAATATGAGCTCCATATTAGTTAATATCATAACAAGTATCTGTTAGGTAAGATCAGCCTGTAATTATTGTTAGTTCATTTATTTCATTTATTATTACATCTATCTAATGGATATTCATATAGAAGCTTTACTAGTATTAACTTTATAAATATGGCATTGTGTTTAATTCACTTTCCCCATGGGCAAAAGTACAAGTAGGTCCATTTTTGCATTGACCTGTTTATGGATTGAAATGCTTGCATAATTATGCTAAATTCATGATGTTGATCATTTACTTTTGTAATTAACAATCATTGGGTTGATCCCTTAAACCTTATTGAAATTATTGGCAGGAATAACTTATTCAACATATCCTGTTTATAAACTATTAGCTCTAAGTTCTTATGGTCCATGAGCAAACTAACATCTTAAGCCTAAAGCACAAACCCCATTTGATGCTATATTTTGATCCAAATACTTACTAAAATGTCTACAAAGTTGTGTTTTAAACTTTGAATTCGGATACTGAGTTGCCTATTGGTACATAATTTTAAATAATATCTCAATTAAAAGAATTTAATTTGTTCATTCTAATAACTAATATGATTATTAATTAATTCTTTTTGAGTTAGAATTCATATGCTATAATAATCTCTCCAAGAATATATTACAATATATTAAATGTCATAAAGATTTTAAGTTCTTTTTCTATTAATGTAAATTTTATTTTATTTATATATTATATTAATAATCAACTAAATTTGATCTTTTGTCACTTGGACTAGGTTTTACTTCAATAGATTTCAACCATTTGTTTAATTATTTTGATTTTATATATGTATATTTATAGTAATAATTTTATAATCGATTATTTCGATAATGAAATTTAAAACAGTATCAATTAATGAAAGAATAGATATTTGTTTGTGATTTTATAAAAAATATATTTAATTTAATGCATTAATAAATGTTAATACACATATTCAATTCTTATAATAATATGTAAATTTTTATCAAAAGAACATGTCTAATAATTAAATTAATTAACTTGTAGATTAACACAATATCAATAAAGTTAAAATGTTTACGTTTCTTTATTTTATATTATACTTATGTAATATATATCAGAATCTCAATTTTGAGAAAAGGAATCTTGATTGAGCTTTCTTATCAGCCAAACTTCCTGCTGGCAATGTTCTATATTTTTCAGCTAAATATTTTCTCAAATTCTTTCTCAAGTCCTTTCTTTTTTCAACATTCTTCAATTCAGCCTCTTTAACTCTTTCAATTCTATCTCTAACTTCTTTTAAAGTTGATTCTTCTAATCTGTATCTAAAAACAATCAATTTTTATGAATACCTTGTTGGCATAATGTGATTAAGATTTAATTATTTAATGAACACTTTCAAAGTTGTTCGCTTTCTGATTTATTTTAAACCCATTCTCTTAGTAACTTTTCTTGGATATCTTTAAATACCAACAACTAAACCATTTGGGAATTTTGCATCCTAAAATAAATCAATATTTGATTTACTTTAGTTGATTCTTCATTTGCTTTAATCAAAATAGCCTTCTTTCCTGCATATCTTCCAGCTAGCATAACTACTAGACGACCTGGTTTCAAACTAGCTATATTACTATTGCTTACAATTTTCCCATTTCAAAATACAAAATAAATCTTTTAATAATTTATTCCAAATTATTTGATACTAATAATCTAACTCATCGAATAAGCATACATAAAATTACCACAATATTAAAGCTCTAGAAATATATTATGATTAATAAACAATAATGATTAAAGATTATTCTATAATAATAATTAGATTGATTATTATAATATAATACATAATGATGTAGTAATAGATGTTTATGATAATTTTATAATCTTTTAAAAAAGAATGATGTTAATGTGATTTATAATATTTTATATTGTACGATAAAATCTTGGAATAATCAAAAGACTAATTCATGTGGTCTAGTTGTTTTTCCAATGCTGAAACGTGCACCAAGATATTGTTTCAAAAGTGGAGTTTTCTTAACAGCTGCAATCAATGCATCATCAATTGATTTTTAAGTCTTTCTTTTTCCATCCAATCTTGTTTTTTCTGCTGCTTATTATTCAGCTGTAAGCTATACATTATTAAGTAACTTTACTTCTCCTCTCTTGGCCCAGAATCCTTATTCATTTTTACGTCTTTAAGCTTATGTTCTCTTGAAATAATCATCATCCACTTAACCAGCATTCACTCCATTAACATCTACCTTAGTGGATGTTGGAATGACATATGCTGAGTTGACTCTCTTGAGTGGGACACCATTAATTTTGAATGGACCTGTTACAAGCAACAATCCTGATTTAAGCTGCTTCAAGAATACTACTCTCTTTCCTTAGAATCTTCCAGCCAACAAGATTAATACTTGTCCTGGAACAATCTTTCTCAATTTAGCTGGTCTTGGAGCCTTTTTGATTTTATTTCACTATACTTTTCTTTTTCTAACGAAATGGACGTTTTCATCATCACTCTTATACCAATTACCAATTCTCACAGTTCTCTTTTTAGCAGGCATTGATTATATTTAATTAATTTTAAATCTAATTTTAAAATTTAATTATCCTTAATCATTCATCTCTTTTCCTTATCCATTATTAATCAACTATTTTAATTATATCAAGAGTCAATAATAGTAATGATACAATTCAATATTTTTAATTATAAAGAGTGATTAAATATATTAAATTAAATAATTTCAAATAACAAACAAGTTAATATAACAATCAATTATTATTCAACTTAACCCTCGATCAGAAAGATTTTTATAGTGAAATAAAACAAAAGCTTATGTATATTTTAAGTAAATTTAAATTACTAGGAGTGATTTAAAATGATCGCAAATAATTTTATTTATATTAAAAAATTTACTATCACTCTAATTCTATTATCATTTATATTAAAAAAAATTTTTTCTATCATCTCAAGGCTTTTTTTTAACTAAAAAGTGGTTGTTTAAAAGTATCATATAAAGCTATTATATAAATTATTTTTGGATTTATAATTTTAATTCTGAAATGTATTATTAATATTATTTAATAAAAAATGAAAGGGTGGTATAATTAGTATATTATTTCATAAAGAGTACAAGGAAATGATGATAAGGTTAGAAAAATAAGATTATTTGAAAATAATGAATATTTAAAAACTTAGGAAATAAAAGATCATCTTGAATATGTATTTCCTTAATCTGAATGTTTCAGCTTGGCTTAATTAATAGAATCAATGGTAAATTGTATTATTATATTAAGCAATGCAATTTCATAAAAATTTATAAAGGATAGGTTTTAATAATTATTTTAGAAATATTAAAACATCTTTAATAATTACATTAATAGAAAATGTCACATGGAAGATTAAATCCTTAAAATATTGTTATTAAATTAAAAAATGATAAAGATAATAAATTAACAATCTAATAAAAAAAATTTACAATATAAAGAGTGCAGTTCATTAATTATAGAATTATTGATGATGTTAAATATGAAATTAATTAAATTTAAGATAATTATGATATTATTAATTGCTGTATTTCATTGATATCAACATATTAAAAATAAATGTGTGAATTATTCAACTTTATTATTACTAATTTAAAATTGTATTAAAACAGAGTGATTGAAATATCTTAATTAGTTGACTTTTTTAATTTATATATTCAAGAGTATTTAATATAATTATTTTAGATGTGTAGATTAATAAACTTAAAAAATCCAAAAAAATCAAATTTATCCTTCTACAATATTTTAATAAAATGTTTAAACTGTTCAATGTAAGGAAGGAGAAGAATATGGTATGTTATCAAAAAGATAGAGATGTTCAACTATTCTTTCAAAATTTTTGGAAACATTTAGTGGTCAATTAGTTAATAATAAATTAAAATATCAGAATAATTCTAATGAATATGATATTGATGAATAATAGGTTGAAATTATTGACATTGGAAATTATAATTAAGAAGAATTATAGATATTTTATGTTTTTGAATATATTTTAAAATAATAAATGATGAAAATAATTTGGAAACATTTCGGAAACTTTTTTGAATCTACCAAATAAAATATTGAACAAATTTATATTGAAGTTATTAAAATCATAAATTAAAATAATCAAAGAATTTTAAATGATCACTTCAAACCTATTTTAGAAGAATATTAAAATAGTAAAAAAATAAATGATGAAATCAATAAAGAAATTGATTAGAATTACAAATTTAATATTTAATATGATGAACAAAAAGCAAAAGATCATTTTTTTTTACAATTGAAGATTTAAGCATAAAATTATGATATTAATAATATTTAATCTTTCATTGACAACATCNAATATTATTTAATAAAAAATGAAAGGGTGGTATAATTAGTATATTATTTCATAAAGAGTACAAGGAAATGATGATAAGGTTAGAAAAATAAGATTATTTGAAAATAATGAATATTTAAAAACTTAGGAAATAAAAGATCATCTTGAATATGTATTTCCTTAATCTGAATGTTTCAGCTTGGCTTAATTAATAGAATCAATGGTAAATTGTATTATTATATTAAGCAATGCAATTTCATAAAAATTTATAAAGGATAGGTTTTAATAATTATTTTAGAAATATTAAAACATCTTTAATAATTACATTAATAGAAAATGTCACATGGAAGATTAAATCCTTAAAATATTGTTATTAAATTAAAAAATGATAAAGATAATAAATTAACAATCTAATAAAAAAAATTTACAATATAAAGAGTGCAGTTCATTAATTATAGAATTATTGATGATGTTAAATATGAAATTAATTAAATTTAAGATAATTATGATATTATTAATTGCTGTATTTCATTGATATCAACATATTAAAAATAAATGTGTGAATTATTCAACTTTATTATTACTAATTTAAAATTGTATTAAAACAGAGTGATTGAAATATCTTAATTAGTTGACTTTTTTAATTTATATATTCAAGAGTATTTAATATAATTATTTTAGATGTGTAGATTAATAAACTTAAAAAATCCAAAAAAATCAAATTTATCCTTCTACAATATTTTAATAAAATGTTTAAACTGTTCAATGTAAGGAAGGAGAAGAATATGGTATGTTATCAAAAAGATAGAGATGTTCAACTATTCTTTCAAAATTTTTGGAAACATTTAGTGGTCAATTAGTTAATAATAAATTAAAATATCAGAATAATTCTAATGAATATGATATTGATGAATAATAGGTTGAAATTATTGACATTGGAAATTATAATTAAGAAGAATTATAGATATTTTATGTTTTTGAATATATTTTAAAATAATAAATGATGAAAATAATTTGGAAACATTTCGGAAACTTTTTTGAATCTACCAAATAAAATATTGAACAAATTTATATTGAAGTTATTAAAATCATAAATTAAAATAATCAAAAAATTTTAAATGATCACTTCAAACCTATTTTAGAAGAATATTAAAATAGTAAAAAAATAAATGATGAAATCAATAAAGAAATTGATTAGAATTACAAATTTAATATTTAATATGATGAACAAAAAGCAAAAGATCATTTTTTTTTACAATTGAAGATTTAAGCATAAAATTATGATATTAATAATATTTAATCTTTCATTGACAACATCAAATCTTAAGTTAAATAATCATTATAAGAATACTATGATGAAATATTAGAATATGAAATAATAATGTTAATAAATGATTTAATTTGATATTCTTTATTAAAAATATTAAATAGGAAATTTTATCATTATGGAGACTATAACATATCACTTTTAGCTTATAACTTTTGATCGCTTTTAACATCCTACTAATTTATGGATTCTCCGTTTGATCCTATATCTAATTCTTAATGTTCTCCCTTTTCATGATGTTTTTTTGCTCCATGATGATGTCCTTGATTTAAGGAGTGTTTTATTATTATTAAATCTAAAATTAATGTAACTGCAAAGATGACTAAATTAGCTAGATTATATGACCAAGCAAATTTAGTTAAATCATTTTCTAGATTTGTGAAGAAGTAATCACTTACTGGATCTGAAACACATTAATTATCATTGACATCTTTAATTACAAGTCTTTTACTATCAATAATAGCAAATGAAACACATATAACAATGATTTCAGCTATTTACAAAACCATCTTAAAGCCTATTTCAATAAAAAATATATAATTATATTAAGATTCAGGACGAGCTAAATAATATGAAATTGTTATTACTTGCCATACAAGACCAAGCAAAATTACAAGCAGTCATTGTTCCAACTATATTAAATATAAGACCAATAACAATAAAATATGTTATAGTAACTCCCAATTAAACTCTTAAGGATATATATACAAAAAATAATGTGCCTCCCTCATGAATTACATCATCGAATAATTATCCTCTGCATTATGGAGCCCAAGGAATATAAGTCTTAGAATGCATTGTCCAATTATATTTAGTATCTATGTTAAAATATGGTAATTTATCTTATAAATAAATGACATTGTTGGATAAATAGTATTATTCTTCATCAATAGAATGAATTAATTTAAATAATGGATCNTATTTTAGAAGAATATTAAAATAGTAAAAAAATAAATGATGAAATCAATAAAGAAATTGATTAGAATTACAAATTTAATATTTAATATGATGAACAAAAAGCAAAAGATCATTTTTTTTTACAATTGAAGATTTAAGCATAAAATTATGATATTAATAATATTTAATCTTTCATTGACAACATCAAATCTTAAGTTAAATAATCATTATAAGAATACTATGATGAAATATTAGAATATGAAATAATAATGTTAATAAATGATTTAATTTGATATTCTTTATTAAAAATATTAAATAGGAAATTTTATCATTATGGAGACTATAACATATCACTTTTAGCTTATAACTTTTGATCGCTTTTAACATCCTACTAATTTATGGATTCTCCGTTTGATCCTATATCTAATTCTTAATGTTCTCCCTTTTCATGATGTTTTTTTGCTCCATGATGATGTCCTTGATTTAAGGAGTGTTTTATTATTATTAAATCTAAAATTAATGTAACTGCAAAGATGACTAAATTAGCTAGATTATATGACCAAGCAAATTTAGTTAAATCATTTTCTAGATTTGTGAAGAAGTAATCACTTACTGGATCTGAAACACATTAATTATCATTGACATCTTTAATTACAAGTCTTTTACTATCAATAATAGCAAATGAAACACATATAACAATGATTTCAGCTATTTACAAAACCATCTTAAAGCCTATTTCAATAAAAAATATATAATTATATTAAGATTCAGGACGAGCTAAATAATATGAAATTGTTATTACTTGCCATACAAGACCAAGCAAAATTACAAGCAGTCATTGTTCCAACTATATTAAATATAAGACCAATAACAATAAAATATGTTATAGTAACTCCCAATTAAACTCTTAAGGATATATATACAAAAAATAATGTGCCTCCCTCATGAATTACATCATCGAATAATTATCCTCTGCATTATGGAGCCCAAGGAATATAAGTCTTAGAATGCATTGTCCAATTATATTTAGTATCTATGTTAAAATATGGTAATTTATCTTATAAATAAATGACATTGTTGGATAAATAGTATTATTCTTCATCAATAGAATGAATTAATTTAAATAATGGATCTGTATTTTCACATTATTTTCTTCTATCTGTCATGAGAGGATAATCAATTCTGTTTGGAGAGATATTTTAATTTTAATTTCTTCTACAAACTTTATCACTTTCTGTAACTCTAAATTCAACAAGAGGTAAATTTGATGTGTTTTTTAAGTAATAAAAATAAAACCCTTTCCCCAAATCATAAATATATCCAATTTTAGTATCATTTAATTTTCTTAAGTTTTAGAAATTAGGATTAGTAGTAAACCCTATATCAGAGATTGGACAACTCATATCAGATGGAACACAAAATTTATTATCTCCTGTACCACAGATAGTTTTATTTTCTGATTCACAATAACTTTAATTAGTTTATATACTTATTCCAGTGTTTCTTCTAGCACATAAAACAAAGGCTAAAATACAAGATTTCACTTACGTCTTCCATAAGAACCATCATTCCAAGAATTAAAAACTTTTGGTTATTATTCATCTACTGTGTTACAATTTCTTGTCGTCATTTCCTAACTACAAACTCTACCAAGCATAAATGATTATTTAAAGAAATCATCTATATTTCGTATATTTTAATCCTATAACAAATTAAAATTAAATCCTTCGCTACAATCACATCCAATCATAGTTCCAGGCCAATAATATTCATATAATGAGGAATACTATATTTTTCAATTGATATATACTTCATCTCCAAATTAACTCTTACAATTTTTATTTGTATAAGTAAATTGAATATCATCTATAACATATGAACCCATGTTATCTAAAAATTATTAATAATCGCCTTCATATACTGTTTGATCTCTGTAAGATAAAATACTTAATGCTAATACAGCTAAACTAACTATAAAAAAATAAGCTTAATAAGCCAATCTCACTTTATCAACTGGTTTCTTACGCAACAATCTTTTTAGTCTTCTTGCTGAAATCAATTTTTATTCCTTTTATTGTTTCTTTTTTTTTTTCTTGACATCTCTTCTCATCAGTTTAGGATCTTCTTCGAAATAAACTTGATTTAACACACTACCCATAGGATTAGTTTCACTGTATTTTTATGTTTATTATTGTCCTTCCTAATCTAAATTTTGATTATTATCTATGTATTGTTTTAAAGGTTATTGATCTTGGTCTGGTTGATAATCTGGAGGATCTAAATTCTTTTCTTATTCAGCCATTATTTAATTAAATTATTTCAAAAATATAAAAGGTAAGATTAGCATTATTAGATAAAATATTACACGATTTTACTCTTATTTTAGGCAAATGATTTCTATATAAAATTCATAAATAAAAAAAGTAATTCTTTTCATAAAATTAGATATCACAAAAAAAGATTCATTATAATTTGAATTCTTATTAAGAAATAAATTTTTGATTTTCATTTTTAACATTGTAATCATTATATTTTTTCATTGTCAAATAAATAAAATTATTTATCTTCTTTAGATATGCATAATACTATAAATTTTATATTAAGAATAATTAGAATTATTAATTTATAAAGAAAAATTATTGATAAATGCATTTTTAATAATATTAAGTACTTCTTATTTTTTAATTTATTTTTAATAATACATATTAAGATAAATTTGAATTAAATTATATTGATATAATTATCATTTGCATTATCTATAGTATTAAATTTATCTTCTTTATCAAATGATATGTATCTTCTTAATATAAATTACCTTACTATTTCTCAAACTTCTTAATTGTCAATTTAAAAGCATCAGACAAAGAAAAAAGATTATCATCAGTTGAGGTCTAGGTTAATTCTTAGAAACTCAATAATTTTTAAAAGAAATTTGAAGAATTGCTTTTATTCTATTGAAATCATCTTGAATAAAATTTCAATGTTAAACTATGAGTTTTATTATACCTCTTTCAATTAATAAATGATAATTTATATTAAAATTAATTTATTATTCATAATATTGCCTTTTTTATCAACAGTTTTGATATAACTTGATAAACAAAAGTCTTTAAATTATTTCATGTGATTGTAAATAATCTAGCAAGATAATTAATTTTTTAACTATATATAAAAATTATTATTGAAATCTAATTATATTTTTTAATTGCTAATTTTGTTATTTTTTTATTAATGATTTCAACATCCTGAACACTGAACAGATTTAGACACAAATATGTTAATGATAAATCAATTAATCATCCTATGAATAAATTGACCTACCATATAGGGGTATCTATTGACTGATAAAGTAAAATAAGTGAAAACTTAATAAAAAGTGATGTACTTTAGAGTTTATATTATTGTTAAATAATATGGTAGAATTAAATTAATTATCTCTTATTTTTTTTTCCATGCTTACAAATTCTGCTACATTCTAGAGATATAATTCTGAATTAGCAATAATATTTAATAGCCATATTGGGATTCACTCACTTTTTATGAGTAGATTATAAGGTAATGGAGTTAGGCCACTTTGTGTTATTATCAGCCTTCAAAAAGATTTTTTCATATCCTTGTCTTTTGTAATTGAGATCATGTCCCTAAACATGAAGAGGAAAGATTGTAATTGTTGTTATAAGATGAGTAAATTCATTTTCTTGTCTTTGGTTTAAAAGTTTTAAAAACATAGAAAGAATTAACTCTTCAGTTCACTTTGTTTTAAAAAAATTGCATCCTTTTCAAACTATAAACCACCAACCAATTTTAAAACTTACACTTGACTAAAAGGGTTACGATTATATTTGAGTTTTTCTAAGTCTCCAAAGTTATTAACTAGTAGAATTAAAAATAGCATTTGGTGTTAATTCAAATTATTTCCAAATTTTATTCAGTTCTTCATTAGGTATACACATAGATAGTTTAAGAGTCTTCTTAATTGAGGTTCTAAACATAGACTACCAATTTTTCACCTATAAATTAGAAAATATCTCATGAATGGCTCATAAAATCAAAATGATGTTTAATAAAAGAATTCTACAATTAGGTCGGTCTTATGCCATATTGTTAAAAAAAGATTGAAATCAACAAGCTTATCAATAAATAAATTTAATTTTTTAAACTTAAATTGATAAAATTTTAATAAGTAAACAAAATTCAATACAGGATGTCTAAAATATAAATCAAATATCCTTAATTGAATAATCTATTTAAAATTAGTTTCCAGATAGAAAATAGATATCGCTACAAGAATTTATGAATTCATAACGGTAATCAATTCAATCTAAGATCCATATTATAAATAACTAATGCAAAATATGCTTGAATTAATAAATGAGGTTATAATCTAATGGAAAGAATCTTCATCCCAATATTAAATGGAATTAACAAAAATGAATTTTTGTATGAATTCCATTCAGCCAATATAATAAAATTATGGCAACTCCTATTTAATGTAAAAACCTTTAAATAAGATTAATATTTTAATGATTTTATAAGAAACTTTTAAATTATAGGATTTTGATAGAATAATTAAATAAGCTACAAATGTTAATAATGATGATAAATGCATCCAATTGATGGATTAAGGCTCTTTCTATCCAAAAATGTTGACACATTTGGCAAAAAAACTTCAAGTTTAATTCATTTATTTATTTATTGAAATATATATCATACAAATTAATTAATTAACAAAATTTAAGAACCTAAAATGTCTATAGTATGTCATATTTCCATGATTATCAAATTAAAATTTAAGAATATATTTTCTTTGATAATATTATTAGATAAGAAGTTTATGACTTGTATTGCAATTATATTTTATGTTTATATTAAATTTAATTAATAAAACGTGTTAAATAATTAAATTAAAATATGAGTTAAGTATCGTAAAGATAAAGAAGTCCATCCCCTTAATCTCCAGAAAAAGTTGCATAAAGAGAAAAGGCAGCATAAGCAATGAAAAGACGTAACCAAACATAACCAAGCTTTTTTGAAAAATATGCATACCATTTGGTAATTGGTGCATTTGGATTTGTGTGTGTTTATGCATTATTTTCAATTCTAACACGTTCAAGCAAGAAACTGACTACTACTCCTGTAATTGATGAAGAAGAAATTGCTAGTCATAATTCTTTAGGATCTTATTAATAAGGACCAAATGATTTCTTTAAAGATTGGAAATTTAGCGATGCTAAATTCATCTTTAACAATCATTTAACATTCAAAGGAAAAATACCTTAATGTCCAGAAAGTGGAGTAATAATTCCAGAGAGTTATAATTTTAGAGAAGTTTAGCCAGAATGTGCTTAACCAATCTACAATTAAGGTAAACTATTTTTTAATCGATAGGAAATTGCTCATCCAGCTATTCTATCGCTGCTGTCTCAGCTACAAGTGATAGGTTATGTAAAGTCAGAAATGGGGAATTTTAAGATTAATTATCACCATAATCACCAATCTCTTGTGATAATAAAAATTATAGATGTGGAGGAGGAAGTGTTACTAGAGTATTAGAAGTTGGCAAAAAGTAAGGGTTTGTTACAACCTCTTGTTTACCATATACTGGAACTGAAGATGCTAAAGACAATTGTGATGCTCTTTTTACCAATTGTGAAAAATATAAGATTTAAGATTATTGTGTTGTATCCAGTGAGGAAAACATTAAAAGAGAAATTTTAAACAATGGACCTGTTGTTGCAGTTATCTAAGTATTCAAAGACTTTCTTGTTTATAAAGGAGGAATCTATGAAGTAGTTGAAGGGAGTTCAAAGTATTTCTAAATTTTTTATTTAGATTCCAATATGGACATGCAGTCAAAGTTATTGGTTGGGGAAAGCAAGACGGAATTAATTATTGGGTTATCGAAAATTCATGGGGAGATTCATGGGGTCTCAAAGGTTTAGCCTATATTGCTGTTGGTATTGAAAAAAGTATATATATGTTAAGGTTAAAATTAATTACAATTGGAAGCCTATTCCGTAGCCCCTATTGTAGCAGCCCCTTAAGACAAGGCCGAATGATTTTATCGTATTATATCATTATTCTAATATTAAATTTCTCTAATTAAACTTAAATTCAAATGATCTTTTTTATTATTGTATTTTAAAGATAAAATTAAAATCAATCTCAAATTAAATCAAAATTAAGGGATATTATTTCATATTCTAATATTTCATCATAGTATTCTTATAATGATTATTTAACTTAAGATTTGATGTTGTCAATGAAAGATTAAATATTATTAATATCATAATTTTATGCTTAAATCTTCAATTGTAAAAAAAAATGATCTTTTGCTTTTTGTTCATCATATTAAATATTAAATTTGTAATTCTAATCAATTTCTTTATTGATTTCATCATTTATTTTTTTACTATTTTAATATTCTTCTAAAATAGGTTTGAAGTGATCATTTAAAATTTTTTGATTATTTTAATTTATGATTTTAATAACTTCAATATAAATTTGTTCAATATTTTATTTGGTAGATTCAAAAAAGTTTCCGAAATGTTTCCAAATTATTTTCATCATTTATTATTTTAAAATATATTCAAAAACATAAAATATCTATAATTCTTCTTAATTATAATTTCCAATGTCAATAATTTCAACCTATTATTCATCAATATCATATTCATTAGAATTATTCTGATATTTTAATTTATTATTAACTAATTGACCACTAAATGTTTCCAAAAATTTTGAAAGAATAGTTGAACATCTCTATCTTTTTGATAACATACCATATTCTTCTCCTTCCTTACATTGAACAGTTTAAACATTTTATTAAAATATTGTAGAAGGATAAATTTGATTTTTTTGGATTTTTTAAGTTTATTAATCTACACATCTAAAATAATTATATTAAATACTCTTGAATATATAAATTAAAAAAGTCAACTAATTAAGATATTTCAATCACTCTGTTTTAATACAATTTTAAATTAGTAATAATAAAGTTGAATAATTCACACATTTATTTTTAATATGTTGATATCAATGAAATACAGCAATTAATAATATCATAATTATCTTAAATTTAATTAATTTCATATTTAACATCATCAATAATTCTATAATTAATGAACTGCACTCTTTATATTGTAAATTTTTTTTATTAGATTGTTAATTTATTATCTTTATCATTTTTTAATTTAATAACAATATTTTAAGGATTTAATCTTCCATGTGACATTTTCTATTAATGTAATTATTAAAGATGTTTTAATATTTCTAAAATAATTATTAAAACCTATCCTTTATAAATTTTTATGAAATTGCATTGCTTAATATAATAATACAATTTACCATTGATTCTATTAATTAAGCCAAGCTGAAACATTCAGATTAAGGAAATACATATTCAAGATGATCTTTTATTTCCTAAGTTTTTAAATATTCATTATTTTCAAATAATCTTATTTTTCTAACCTTATCATCATTTCCTTGTACTCTTTATGAAATAATATACTAATTATACCACCCTTTCATTTTTTATTAAATAATATT